GTTAGAATATTATAACTAACCTTAATTCCTAGATATTGCTCATTAGGTGCATTATTTAAAAAATCTTCAAACTGGTCTTTTGTGAATACCTTTGACTTTTTGGGAGTATACCCTTCATTCTGCTTCTTCAGATAAGCACGTAGTTTCATATATTTGCTAATATCTAATCCATGTTTAATATTCAGTAATGATTTTATCATGGAATACTGAGACCACATTGTTGAACTCTTCATTTTTAATTTAGTTGTCATTTCAAAAAAATAAGCTAGTAGCACATTTTCCGAATAGTTTGAAATGTTTTTATCATTGCACCATGTGAGAAATCTTTCGTAAGCATGATTATAAACTCTACTTGACTTAGTTGGAATTAAATCATTCGTAGCTGCCTTAGCAATGTCAACAACGTCGGGCGGTGTACAGTTGGGTTCTGAATCCGACATAATATAATATCTAAAAGAAAATTTTAGTACACTTTACTACAACAAACGAAATTTTGATGCTCAAGTACTTACCAAAAATGCACAGTCCAATTGTTGCTTTAAATCACTTACAATATTTCTGACATTATAAAATATTATTGAACTGTCAAATTTGTTTTTGACTTGGCAAATACAAAACCAGTAACCACGGAAATGTAGTGCGCAGTTTTATAATTATTATTCTCTGAATTTATCAACTTCGTTGCAATCGTTTTGAATTTTTATTTAAATATTAATTAGTTCTATAGTCTGGATGCCGTTTGCGGAAAAAATAGCATGTTTCATTCGGAGCAAAAGCACTTTTACTCCTAATAAAACAATATACTATTTCAATTAAGACACTTATTACTTTACTTTTTTTAATCCATTTTTTAAACGAATACACTTAAAATTAATATTTATCGATTATAATTTTCTTCACGTGGACATTTTAACATGCTTGTTTACAAAAAACAGTACGAAAAAGATGGCTGATACTGACGCATGCGCACAAAAAAAATTGTGATGAAAAGGCCTATTAAGAAATTTTATAAATTTCCACTGATCACACTTGGTGTCTTACACCCAATGATATACATAGTGCATAGATTGCTTGTCCATATGTAAATCAGACGACGTATTTCACTGGGCGAAGTTTTCTTTTTATCTAATACATGTTTTGTATCAACTTTGAGTAAATCATTTACAGAACCGGTTTCGAAATTAGAATCTTTACTGTTTCCTTGTCATCAAGATTTTTACAGATTTAAATGTACATTTGTGAATTAATATATCGTAGATCGCAAATCGAAATCTGTAATAAGTTGTAGAATAATTTGAAAATTTGGAGCCAAATCTCAAAAATCCCCCTACGACTTATAAAGATCATCCCAACGATAATAATTGGAGATTTGAAAAAAGCCTGTCGTCGCGGGATTCGAACCCAGACATTTTTGTTGAGATTTCTAGACAGAAATTTGATGTGCTAGTTCTAGAGAACAAAGATGTCTGAGTTCGAAATAGTTATAAAAAAATTTGACCGTTTTAGTCCATTGTTGCAAGAATTTTGTATCTTCATTAAAACACTATTTTAACCGGGGCGTGATAATAATGGGCCACTATTACCCTTAATAGCTGTAAGAGTAGTAAGTTAGTGATAATAATGGGTCACTAATATCCTTAAAAGCTGAAAGAGTACTAAGTTAAAGATTATAGTAATAGCTAGAAATATTAAATTGATTTCTTGTCTCTTTTATCATGTTGTAGCAGCCCTAAACTTAAGCCTGTCTACTGCCAGTAGTAGTGATGAGTTGCTTGGAAAAGTTCACGGACAGGTTCGACGGACTAGTCTCAAAAGTTGACTAGTCCAAACACACTTTTCAAAAGTGGAAAAAAGTACTGCGCATGCACGAAATTAAATTAACTAGTTTGTTTGAATTTCTTACAAAGGCAAAGTATAGTTTAACAAAGAGGAAACGACAAATGATTACTGACTTATGTTTTATTGATGTTTTCGAATTTTCGTTTCATATCTTATTAATAAACACGTGCAAAAATGCCAAAAAATCCAAAGGTTGGAAGTATTTTATAAATAATTTTCCTAAAAAAACGAAAATACAAATGAAAATATTCCCAAAGTATTTTTGAAAAAACGTGCAGGATGAAGTTTTTATTGTCTTCTATGACCGACTACTTTTTATTACTTTTTACTAGATACTTTTCCGGACATATCCGTTGGACTAGTCCAATAATTACTTTTTTTGAAAAGTCCCATCATTAGCCAGTAGTAATTCGCAGGCAGTCAAGACTAATGATTTATTATTCCCTCTTCTCCGCATGCTCTTGTAGATTTATTTTTTTTATGTTAGGTTAAATGAGTTTTTTGATGCTAATACGCTAAATTAGTAATTTTGGTTCCATTGACAGTTACAGTGACAGTATTTTTTAAGTGCGTTTTTTTCGTTTGGTTTACCCAAATTATATTGTTTTTAGACTTTTATATTTATAGAGTAAGTAGACAAAACATGCATCAAGTACAGTTCATCAAATTTCTAGAGGTGTTCGACGCCCAGACAGAGAACGCGCTACGTGTGACTAAGATAGCTATTGTACAGTCTGCTAAACAAGTTATTTTAAATAGTTTTTAATATTTTTAGGTAATTAAATTTTAAAAGTGTGGAATAGTTTAGGGATTAAATTGGTCTGATTGGACTTTCTTAGAACGTTTTTAAAAGCAGCTAAAGATAGTATGTAGAATTGAAAATAATTATTATGCCATAAAAGGTGTTTTGGAATTCCTTCAACCTTTTGAAATTGAGTCAGAAATATAAATTTTATAGGATAGCGGAAAATACCTATAATTTTTTTGTAGGCCTTTGTAAATCGGGGAAATAGTTTATATTTTATTTCTACCTTATTAAGGAAAATGGTACCTATTATTAATAACGGTTGTTTCTGAAACATTACTAAAATTTTCGAAATTTTATTTTTCTACAAAATAATAAACTATACTATTTAGAAAAAAAATTATTTCTCTTATAATTTTATAAAAAATAACAGGGGAATATTTACATTTCTTGATCTATTAAACAAAACGATAAATTATCTCGACGAATGACACCATGTTCTAGTACGGAAGCTAGCTTTACATTTTTGTTGGTGGTTTCATGGGTTTCATATCAATTTTTTGTAATTGTAGTTTACACGTACATATACCTCTTAACACTTGTTTGCTTTATTAAAAAAGTGTGTTGTTGTGATTTACTTCGAAATAAGTCAAAAACAACTTGAAACCCCATATAAAATCAAAAAGGAGAAACGGAAAAAAATTGAGCCTGCAAATGAACACAACTCAGAAACAAAAATAGCTATCTAATAATAAAAAAATAAAATTTGATTCTTGTGTAGCTTCATCTATATCATTAACTGTTTTTGGTTTTTTAATGGTTTTTCTTGGTGATGAAAATTCCGATATCTCACGGTTATCGATTCTTTTTTTCTCTCCAGAAATGCGGACGACAGTGTTTTTAGATACTCCTGTGGCTGCAGCAACACGATCATTTACATTTTTAAATGGTATTGAAGGTGAATTAAAGTTTCCTTCTCTTCTCATAAACTCTATAACATTGGCTATTATTTCGCGAGATTGACTGTTAATCACGCGGCCTCTTAATTTGCTATTAAACTCCATACTTAGGTTCTATTAAACTGTAATGAGCAAAAAACACAAACGAAAATAAAAGAAATGTTTTAGCGAAATTTACATCTGACATTTACGTCTGAATGAAATAGTGAAATACTTGATGCGCAGAGTGTACTTTCATTGCGTAAATCCGTCGGGATGCCTGTCAGTAGTGCTTTCTCTGTCTAGCCGTCGAAAGCCTCTAGAAATTTGATGAACTGTATATAATCATTTAGCCACCAATTACATACCTTTTAACTACTTTTTATGACCTGCAAACGATAGTGAAGACGGTGTTCAACTAATCTACAATATACTGAGGCTTTTGTAGTACCTACTGCCTACAAATTTGTTTTCCTTGATTATTTGAGATAGTTTTACAGCTTTTTTGTTTATTATACACAAAGGAATTAAATAGTTCCCATTAGCTATATACATTTAAAATTAATTGTTCCTACTTAGCAAAAAACATAATCTTACAGTTTCGAAACTGTCTACATTCCTCGACTATTCTAACGATTAGACAACACTGTTTGGTCGTTACTGTATAAATGATCCATGATGTACATCGGTTTTTGAATTAAAAAGCCTATATAACTTTAGTCTTAACTCGTTTGCAGGGAATAATGGAACGATTGCCCTTTAAAATGGAACAATTCAAATATTGAACCGCACAATGGTGCATCTCAACTTAACCACAACATAAACTTCACCTATATTCATGAAACGCTGTTGGAACCAGAAAATACACTTTTGTGTTTTGATTTTTATTTATTTTGTCATTTTAATAATTTCAGTTATTGTTCTTTATTTTTTTATTTTTATTTTTTTAACAATTTTGTTTTTATTTCATTAAAAAGTCCCCAATAACTTTTTCAAAATTAGTACAAAGAAATAATGAAAAAATTTTAAACTTCCAAAGTGAAAACAAATTCTGTTTCGCGTAAAACGGGAATGTGGATGATTCGAACCCTACCCTTTTCTTTTTTAATTCATTTTTTTCACTTGGGGGTTCAAAAATATTTTTTCATTATTTTTAGGGGTAATTTTTTCAAATGTAGGTACTTGATAATTACCAAAGCATTTATATTTACTTTGATTTCGGATCAATAACCGACAGTTTTTCGGAACTAACCGACCCGTCACTAATTTTGTTTTTATTTTTATATTTTTTTATTTTTATTAATTTGACAATGTTACATACATTTTTCAAATAATTAGTTCTTTCTCTAAATAAAGTGGGTTTAATTTTGTTACTGGATATATTTTGTTTTTCAAAATTTTAAAATCCTTTGTGAGATATATAGACAAACTGTAAAAAACGGTAATATTAAAATCTTCAAAAATCTTTGGATACTTACTGAACATCTGAAGCACATCTGATGCCACTTAGCATCTAAGGCTACAATAGCCTTGTCTGGGATGGCCTTTCCGCAGCCTTTGCATTTGTCGGCGTGTTTAGCTAGGTAGCATTTCTGGCAACGTGGCACTCCTGCAACGTCCATGAATTGTTGGCCGATCAATTTCGTTTTGCAGTCTTCGCAGACGAAATGATCTTCGTGCCAGTTGACTCCCATGGCTTGCACGCATTTCTAAAATTAGAAAATTTAAATTAGTGTTAGATTTATGGCTAAAAATTCGCATTTTATTTTGGTGGTTGTTAATAATCTTCATGCACGCAAACATAAGCTAGATACATATAATGGAAAGGTAATATTTATTTGTTCTTTGACAGTTATAACAAATTGATAATAAGTAAGTCATGTCTTTAAATAGCGCTTCCATGTAATAATCTGCTTTTAAAATTATTTAAATTGTGTATTTGGTAATTTTTCATCAAAAGTTATACCAAAAAATCCACAGATTGAGTTCACAGGATAGGAGATTTTTTAGTTTTATCGAATATTATTATTCATAAAATATTTTAATTCCAAACTTAAAGTTGAATTGTTTTAATAGAAAATACATCCTTCCTTGGCCTTATAATTTTTTTACACGTTTTGGCGTAGAGTCAAGAAGTTTTTTGCAGTTTTTTTTTTAAATTTGGTAGTCTTGAAAGAATATCTGGATTACAGCCTCAATTACTTTGTTTTTGTTATACAACTATTTCACGAAATCTAGCTTTTATAACAGATAACACATTTTCTATATGATTTAGATCCGGTGAATTTCCTGACTATTCAATGTATAAAATGATGTTTTTACTGTTGTATTTATACTACTGCACGACTCTTCAGGTGTCTTCTCGACAGCACAACTCGGTAGTAGATCAAGTATGTACACTAAGGTATACACGGCTTATGCCCAAAAATTATTTGCTTCAACGCCTTTTCCATGATTGAACGGTTTCCCATTTTGCTTTGTGGTATATTTAGCAGAAAGTTGATGTTGTATTGTATACCTTTAGATTTAAAGACATTTGAAATTTCTGTGCCACAATATTCACCACCGTTGTCGGTTCTAAAACATTTACTTTTTCGCCTGTCACTATCTCGGTAAAAGTTTTAAAATGTTCGAAAACTTGGTCTTTAGTTTAGTCAAAAAAAATTAATACATATCGTGAACCAGATAAACTTTTCTCTTAAATCTGAATGCACCAATTCTAGCAGTCTTGAAGTTTTGCTTTCACTTATTTTAAATGATAAACTGTGACTTTTTCCAAGTATATACACTTTGCAAGAAAAATCAGTTGAAAACTAGCTGAAAACTAGGTAATTTTTAAATTTAATAAGAATTCAAGAATTTGCATGTGCTAAACGTCGTGCCACAAATTACATTATTTTTCGGTAGATATACTCAAAAAAACTGAACCATGATCTATGACTGACAAGCAGGTACCTAATTTGAACAAATTGTTTTCATGAGTTGCAGTAGCAATCAGCTGGCCAGAAGAATAAAATATATTTGCACCAGTATGGTCAAAAGTTACTGTATTGCTCTTTTTATCAATATCACTAACGGACAGTAAATTAACTATTAATTATTGGGGTACAAAATAAACTTCTCCAATATTTTCATCAGAAGCTCTCTTACCAACTGACATATATATAAACTGACATCGCCAATAATTTCTGATGTCATTTCTTCATTTTTGACTGTATTAATAATCAGCTTTGCAGAATTTTTTTCGGATTGAAGTAAATCTCGACTCTATATCCCCAATAAGTTGAGTCAAGATACCATAAAATATCGCTTTTGTTATATAGCAAATGCAGAAAGCAAAGCAGAACTAACGGAGCTGTTACTATTTTTCTTTTTATCAAATTTTGTACAATTGGTTTAAAAGTGTCAACATATTTATTACATTAATTTCAATCTAGATATTTACAAGTTTAGTTAGTGACAGTTATCAAATATACCTGATTGTAAGTTACATGAGTTTAAAGTAATCCTTTCGCCAATAAATGAAGGGAAGAAACAAGGAGCATTATCGGGCTGTGATTTGTTACAATTTTAAGCGTGGCTTAAATCATAAAGGTTTTTCTCATTTTAAAGAACAATGTTTTGAGGAAATCAATCGAGTGTTTGGTGACAAGTTATGTTTCTTTGGTAGTGTAAAGTGGTAGTACAATAAATTTAAACGTGGTCGACTTTCCTTAAATGACAGTTTCTAAGATAAAAACGGCAATTAACAGAAAAAATATTGATCTTATTCCGAACATGATTAAAAGGCGGCAGATTACTGTCAAAAACATTAAAACAATTTTAAAAATTGGTGTAAAAGCAATTAACACTATTTCACATATTTGAAAGTCCGTAAGCTTTGTTTTTGGTGGATTCCCCATAACTTGACTTTAGCTCAGAAAAAAGACCATTTGAGATGGTGTAGGTCTACGTTAGATCCATTTGACTCCTGGTTCGTTTAATTTGTGATACAACATCATCACAGGAGATAAAACATTGGTATAGAACTATGATCCCAAAAAAAAACAACGATTGTCAGTTTCTGTCTTTGAGAATTATTATTATTATTATTATTATAGAATGACTCGGCTCCAACAAAAGTTGTTCGCGAGAAAAGCCGGAACAAAAAGATGATCGCCAATTTTTTTGGAATTACTGGGCATGTTTCCAGTGTAGCACTGGAGGTTAAAGGTACTGTTAATTCCGAATGGTTCCACTACAGTTTGTCTCAGGTTCTCCAAAAAGTTCGCGATAAACGTTCCAAGAGGAAGGACCACCTTGCATCAAGATAACGCTCGGGCTCGCAATGCTGTTCGAACAAATGAGTATTTGAATTCCCATAGAAATAATGGGTTATTCCTGTATAGTCCAGACCTAGCAAATAATCACTTCTTATTTTTGTGGGTAAATTATGGGGTTTACGTTTTACATCGGCTGAAGAAGCGGTTAATGCCTTTAAAAATGAAATAAACAAACTATGGCCAGAAGATTGAAGAACATGTTTTCAAGAGTCATTTCCGAGGATGCAAAAATGCACTGACTGTGGAGGAGAATACATTGAAAATTTTAAATAAATGTAATATAATAATAATAATAATAAACTGGTGAAGAAGTAGTACTCGTAGAGTCAGTAAGCTCATGCTAAGAAGACCAAACGCATGGTTGCCACGGTACTACAGCTCGAAAGCTCCCAGAGATTGTGGGATAATTAAGAAGTGGACACTGTTTGCTGAAACACCTTTACGTGATGGAATTAGACAGAGGAAGGAAACCAATACCACGTAATTTTCTAACTCCAAGCTCTAGGTAGTCGGCGACACACCATTTTGGTCTGGAATCAAAAAGAATGCCCCAGGAATACTTGGGTGGGACCCCAGTAAAATTAACCAAAAACACAGAACTATTCAGAGATAGTACCTGAATACGGAGAAGCAGTGGAATAAATACAACCCCAAGAGGCCACAGTGTTCTGGGCTAAATCTAACCCTATTTGTGTATAACCGACAGAGATAAATATGAAGATATGACAGTTGTATAAATAGAAAGGTGTTTCCATTTTATTTAGAATCAACGTGGACGTGTTCTTAGTCTCTTTTTAAACAAATATCTCCTTGGAAGTTTCATTCTGTAGGATCACGCTCATATCAAGGCAGTCTTAGGATGAACACAAGCCGTGTTTTTATTGCCAGAAAAAAATAGCAGATCATTTTATGAAGCAATACTTGGTTTAACAAAGTTGAACCTAAATATAAACCCACAAATTTATACAAGTTTTTGGTGGATATGTTCAAGATGGATAGAATACTCGAAAAACTTCGCTCATATACAGGGTGGCTCACGCTCAACGGGACGGAGCTTTATGGGAAAACGACCAAAGATATAAAAAATTCGTTTGGGAGGAATACGTAGGTTACAGACGGCTACAATTTAAAATTTGTTAGATGTATACAGGATGTCCCACATAAGAGAAAATATACAAAGTTATATTATTTTTAATGGAACACCCTGTTTTTTATTTTAGAATTAAAAACTACATCAAAAATAATGTCAGTTAACTAAAGGTTCCCTATTACTATTATTATTAGTTTTCGATTTATTTGAATTTTTAAGGAAAAAAAGTCCCAGAAATTAATTGTTTACTCTTGTTTGAATAATTTTTAATGAACTAATTTTTGTTTTCTTATGTGGGACATCCTGTATACATCTAACAAATTTTAAATTGTAGCCGTCTGTAACCTACGTATTCCTCCCAAACGAATTTTTTATATCTTTGGTCGTTTTCCCATAAAGCTCCGTCCCGTTGAGCGTGAGCCACCCTGTATATATGGAAAGTCAAATGAAACTGGATTTGCAAAAGCATTTTAAATCATTTTTTTAAATACATTATTTAATAGGAATTTAATAAAATTAAGACCTGTGGTAATAATACTGAACGACGTAAATTTGAATTGATACATAACTTTTATCTATATGAGTGCTGTTCTCTTTCCATTAAGCTTAGTAAAGTAAAACACAGTTTATTTAAAAAAAAACATGTTTTCTAATTTTGACATATAAAGTGACATTTTTTGTAATCGCAGCAAGTGCCAAAATGATCTACTTTACGCAAACAGTTGTTCTTCTTGTTAGTTTCCATCACTTAATGGTGAAATTATTACTTTAAACTTACGTAATTTACAATCAGTTATAACTATCACACACTAAACTTGTAAATAACTAGATTAAAATGTTAGACAAAATTTGTTGCAAAAATATCATCGCCTACTAGATAGGCTCATCGGAAAGAGAACATAGGTATATACAATAAAAACCAAAAGTCCACACCAAGGTTAATATTGTAATGTGAGCCATTTCATTATTCAGTCATGCTCTAATTCTCCAAGTCCCTCTCTGTCTTATTTGGCCTTTGAGGCTCAACTTGTCCGATTATTATATATAATTAAACCCCTTAAGACCAAACATATGTGACGACTATGGCGGAGGAGCTTTCGATGACTGTTCGAGAAAGAACGGGATAATGTTTCTAGTGTATTGGAGAGAATAAGTGAACTTTCTAGCACATTCGCCAAATTTTTAAATTTGTATATAAATATTGGTGGAGGACCAAGCGAGAGTTAGTTATTATATGGACAGTGAAGATAAATAGTGATCAGTTTAAAGACATTCAAAATATATATATATATATATA